AGAGAATAATGGGCAAAATAAATGGATGCCGATAGTGATCTTTATCTATATACTCATCAACATAAAACTGATAACTGATCAAAATTTCCTGTGATTGAGTTTAAAAAAATAATACAATTAGTTTTAAACCCTTAATTCAACATTCTTACTTCTTTACAATATTTCACAGTAAAAATAAAAAAAAGTAAAAAGAATTGAAACTGCATGTAATATCAAAATAAGAAGATTTGGTATGATTGCCAATCAATCAGCGTTCAAAACTACAAACATGTCTTGTCGGTATTTGAATCATGGATATATTATATATTGTGATTTTATGTAATTCATTGGGCTTTTACTATTGTACTAATATACTTATATGTGACAATGAGACAACTTTCCACTAAAGACAAAAAGGCAAGAATGTAAATAACTACAACATGTACACAATAACTACAACATGTACACAATAACTACAACATGTACACATTCATTTGTTAATGCATCTATATTTGTAAAAACTGATCTGAAAATGATAGATGAAAGCAATCCTTTAAAGATTATAATAAAAGGTCAAGTTCAACTTAAAAAATATTTAAATGAATAATGGTATAGTGTGTAATAGTAATAAGATTATCCATAAAACTGTCTATATTATAATATTACGGTCTAGAGTGTTAGTCTAAAGTTACAACGTCATAAACTTGACTGTTGTCCTTACAATAGAATATTGGTGCCCTAAAAAGTCTAATGGTATTTCTGATAGTCGTGAACTATTCGAAAGCTAGTTGTAATTCTCTCAGTTTATAGCGTGTAAGAGAACAAGCTGGACAAATAAACTTGTATTTTGTCTTCCAAATATCTCCTTTTATTCATATTGATACAACGAGAGAGGAGGGGGGACCAAAATGTCCTGTCCTGCGTATAGCACCGACTCCCCGTCTAAATTGTGAGCGCAGTGTGCGTTTCATCATTTTACGGTGATATGCTCTGATCCTAATCCTCTTAATTTTTTCTGTCAACTACCTTCATATCCCCTCCCATGTACCCCCATTTTCCCTTGGTCAAAAGGCTGAATGGGAATGGCAATCTGTTGTGAAAAAATCCCAACTATTGCGCATTCTAATGACCATGTGCACTTTATGCCAATTAAAACGCTGTAATATTTTGAACTGTGCCGTATACATAAAACATTTTAATCGGTGATTATTTCGGTGATTATTTAGACTTCATTGTCAAACTAATCATAAATAATTTCTAATAATAACACGTTAATAAATGCCAATGTTTGAAGTTGAATATTAAATACCTAGTATGTGCAACTATGTAACAAAAATGGACAAATTACTTCCCGTGTGGAACTAATTGTTTTGAATTGTTAAAATAACTATAATGAATGTTAACAATTTGGAAATGAAGAAACTCCATATCTAGAATGTTTGTGCTGACAGGTAAGTAATAATTGTTTCCTTTGTTGATTGTCTTTCGGTTCTCTCTCAGTCAGTAGTAACTGCAGTGGCGGATCCAGAACTTTTCATAAGGGGGGGGGGGGGCGCTGACTGACCTAAGGGGGGCCCGTTCCAGTCATGCTTCAGTGATTCCCTATATAATCAACCAAATTTTTCCCACGAAGGGGGGGCCCGGGCCCTCCAGCCCCCCCCCCCCCCCCCCCTGGATCCGCCTATGGTAAGTGTCTCCTTTAAGGCACAGCATGCAGTTATCCAAAGTATGAACAGAGAATTTCACGATATAGTAACGATAAGCGGTCAGGGGTGGATTCAGTGGGATGGGGGACGTAGAGGGCGTAAGACCCCATCCTTTTCGATCGAAAATATATCATTTTTTGCATAAAATCGTCCGAATTTTTTGTCTTCAGTTTTATGACATTACGTTCCCCTTTCAAAAAACCCTGTATCAGCACCTGGCAGTAAAACTATGCTTCCACCCGATGATTTTCAAGAGACAGTACGCTTATAAGCCGATACGGCCCGTAAACTGAACTAAAAAGGTAGAGTTTACAGGAGAAAACTTCAAAGGCAATAACTAGATTTCCTGTGGGCTGTCATTTTGAATAAAAACCTTAAAATGGACTTACGGTATGGGGTATGGGTTTTGTTCATTCATTGTTGAAGGCCGAACGATGACCTATGTAGGTATTCACCTCAACGTCATTTGGTCTCTGGAGATTTGTCTCAATGGCAATCATACCACATATTTTTATTCTTATTGCGGTCGTATACTCAGCATGTATTCATTGACATTAACCTGTTTTCATGGCATCACCCTGAATACGCATGTTACATTTTCGCACTTAATTAAGATACACATCAATCAATCAATCGATCGATCGATCATTTTTTTTTTGGAGATAATTTACAGTACGTTCTCGTTGTCACCTACAGTATTTCTCGTAATTGATGTGTTTACCTGCTGTATGTATCCCCCATTTCTGTCAGCACCCGATTATGCTAAATAGTAATTATCACTTTTTTATACAATTAATCACAGCTAGCGATTGCTTACTAGTATCTAAGGACAACGTCAATGCCCCTTATGACATTATCATTAGCAATTTTCAAAATTTTCATTACCTTGCCATTCATCTTGTCCCGAAATTTAAGATAACTTCATCTTCAATTCAAATGATCACCTGTTGTACGTGTTGCAGTAATGACCAATTATGCATTTAGTTCAAGGGAAGAAACATATAACATGGCTATATTTTTACACCATGCACATATCTGTTACAACCCAAAGTTTCTATCGAATTCTATATAAATAAATTTATTCCGAAGCAACAGCTTTTACTTTTATTTCTCGCAACCGCTTCATTGGTTTCCTGCTAGGCGTCCGCGTCTCGATTGCGGTAGACCGTGGTTTCGATTACAGCCGGATCAAAATACATCAACATGTTCTCACCCCGATGTATGCATGTCTGTGATATTTGCCATTGGACGTTATAACACCAATCCACTGATCCATCCAAACCAGTCAAGTCATACGCGGATCCATGCAGCCATTTTAAAAGGGGGTTCCAACACATGCAAGTCATATAAAAAGGGGGGTTCCAACCATATGTCCCCATACAAAAGCATTAGCTGTCAACCAAAAAGGGTGGCGGTTCCAACCCGGAACACCCCCCTGGACCCGCCACTGCAAGTCCATTAAAAATGTATTGATATATAAACTTGACATGTCGCATGTTAAACGATAACCCTTATCTAGTTAATCCTTACTCATAACCCTTATCTAGTTAATCCTTACTCATAACCCTTATCTAGTTAATCCTTACTCATAACCCTTATCTAGTTAATCCTTACTTATAACCCTTATCTAGTTAATCCTTACTTATAACCCTTATCTAGTTAATCCTTACTCATAACCCTTATCTAGTTAATCCTTACTCATAACCCTTATCTAGTTAATCCTTACTTATAACCCTTATCTAGTTAATCCTTACTCATAACCCTTATCTAGTAATCCTTACTTATAACCCTTATCTAGTTAATCCTTACTCATAACCCTTATCTAGTAATCCTTACTCATAACCCTTATCTAGTTAATCCTTACTTATAACCCTTATCTAGTTAATCCTTACTCATAACCCTTATCTAGTTAATCCTTACTCATAACCCTTATCTAGTTAATCCTTACTCATAACCCTTATCTAGTTAATCCTTACTCATAACCCTTATCTAGTTAATCCTTACTCATAACCCTTATCTAGTTAATCCTTACTTATAACCCTTATCTAGTTAATCCTTACTCATAACCCTTATCTAGTTAACTGAACAGTTTTTTCTATTAATAAACTCTAAAGCAACTGTAATCGTTGTCAATTACTTATTAATAACTATAAATCTACCAACTTGTTAACAGACTTCAAAGAGGGAGAAATAATATAATGATGTGCGTAGATGCGCTAAAACACTTGATTTTAATCATTTCTTGCGGTTTTACTGTTGATGCATATAGAACGTATGGTCTGTCTATATAGAGATGTCATACAAAGAAGAAAATTGGCTTCTTGTAATTATTAATAGATGCATGAAGCTATTGATGGACGGGATGTACAATGCATCTGTCAATCAAAATTTGTATTTACACACACCATTATGTATTATGTGTATCAATAAGTATATAGCGTCAAAGACAATAAAACACACTCCACATAGACGCGCTGTATTTTCGCTTTCTCCTTGCCAATTTCATGTTACCTCGCAACGAAACAATAATAGAACATCTCAAATTACTTTTGAACTTATTTCCCTGTTTATTTTTCGCATAAAAATATCTTTCGGAGAGTTAAGTTTGTTATGTTTCTATTTTCGTGAGGAGAATCTCCCGGGTGTTTCGCGTAAAAGCTTTGAAAAAAGGGGGAGTGGTGAAACTATGGAGAATTCTTTCATCTACATAATTTCTATATTTGTCGCCTCGAATTAGCATTTAGAATAAGACTAGTGCCTACGATTTCTGCCGAGAGCTCTACACGGCTGTGTGAAGAAAACAATCATTGGAATGTTAAGAACCTTTTCGCTAATTTAAACCTTATTTATATTTGCTTTGGAGTGTGAAATTGTCAAATTCAATTTTCTTTGTGGTGTGCTGTTTAAGTTATATTTTTTTTGGATTGTTTATTTTAAATATTTTTTCGCTTTGAATTCTGTGTTCAGATAATTTACGCGTATGGAGAAAGTAAGTTAAAGTGCTTTTTTAGTATTTGAATAGTTTGTTTTCTATATTGTTCTCGTTTCGTGACATATTTACTATTAGTGTGACTTAAGCATCTCTGTTACGGATAGAGTGGCACAGATAAAATATATATAATTCCTTTCATTCATTGGATTTAAGAATCGTCAACAGAAACTGTTCTCAATAATCGTATCGAACTTTTGAATTTCGATAAACTTATACACGGAGAAGGCAAAGATTGAATACACATCCTTGTACATCAAAGAAATCTTCGTCAAGGTGAATTACAGGTGTCAACTGATGAATTTGTGTCGTTAATCAGGTAACTTAATCTACAGGATAAATGTATATACAATTACCTATATAAAAGTAGACAAAAGAAACTGACAATGATGCGTGAAAAAATACGGACCATGAGTTATGTTATAGAAACTTTGCATGTTGTTGGTTTAGCATGATTCAATAGAGTGCACCCTTTGAATTGCTCCCTTGGTGTTCACCACTCTCGCCCGGCATGGATACTAAACCCCTACAGTTTGTACAACCTGTTATACAAGTAGACAAGAAAGGTAAGTGTTCATGACATACTATTCAAAAACTGTTTAAAATACTCTATAATTAACAGACCACAAATATTGTCACTAATGTTGTTCAGAAGCTCGGGGCTATTGACCTCCACTTTCACAATTAAAAACGAAATAATTCTAGGTTGTTCCCTCTTTTTTGTAAAAAAAATTAAAGTAATTTTAAAAATTTAGTGAGGACACTAGTACAGTGTTTCTTATTTGCATGCCAAAATTTGTTCAGAAAGAAGAGTCTGTATATATAATTTAAAAAAAAATGGATGTAACTTGAATATGTCTCTGATTAAAACAGTAAAAATAAAAAGACATCAAAAATAATTCAAATGATCTAAGATTTTCTATCAATTAGTCTCAGAAATGATAAATATAAGCAATGCATGTTATAATCTGATTCTACCGGACCGAGTGAAATCGCATCTGAAATTGTTGGTAGTTACAACGATATAGTGTCGGTTTTCAGACAGATCAGTGCGAAATCTCCAATAAATGGAGGTTCAGAAGGTCCTAAAAGCGGTTTGTTTGGAAACAGAAAATGCATAATTTTACAGAAAACTAAGCAAGTTTAGAAATAAGAAGAGTAAATACGAGTTTATTTTACTTAAGACAAAACTGTACCCGTCTAGTAATTAACCTGTCATGACAACTTTGACGTAAAATGATCAAAACTTTCTTCTTATGACATATCACTATCAGTTTCTGTTTGCAGCATACATGGTGAAATATAAGAAAACGGAAAAGTACAACACAAATTATATATTTTTGCAAACATACTTTATTATACTTCTATGGTGTTAACCTTGTTCTTGCAAAGTTTTTGTTAACAACACGGTACATGCTATCATACACCTTACTTACATGCTAATAATCTTCCATTTATACTGGAAAAATATTGACATCATGACAGCACAAAGTCTTGATTCAAGTATAGCAAATTTCCCATAGGGGTCATATGTGTCCCTTGCTAAACAATGACCAAGAAAGTTTTCCATACAATCTAAAGAATAAAATCATACCACATCTTCTTATTTTTTTTATATTCAGTTATTCTAATATGACGTTCTTCAAACGCTTTGAGTACACACCCATGGTAAAATATGAATATATTGTTTAGGCTGTTCCGATCATACTCCCAGGTCATATGCTTTTGTATGAATGAGCTACCCGACGTCATTGAACGATGACGTAAGAATTAAGCATTTTAGGGGAAAATGCACGATTGTAAAACCGAAAGTCATCAAAACAAGGAAACATAAACAAACGATGATAAAATGTGTTTATATAAGCCAATTTTTTTTACATATATAAGTAAAATTATCATTTAAATTCATCCAAACCTATCTAAATACGTTATTGTAAATAGTTTAACAGTTCAGTTTGCTCCGTTCTTTTTCGTCAATATAATAGTGTGTTTATTTACGGGAACGGCAAATATTTGCCTTCACCTAGAGCACTTTGATCCAAAAGAATTGCCGTATTTGTCCTATTAGAAGAGAAATAATTCAGGGGGGCTTGAATTTATACTGATTTTACCACGGGTTTACCCTTTATGCATATATTTTACCCCTCGCTATCGCTCATGGTAAAGTATTTTGCATAAAGTGCCAACCCGTGGTAAAATCAGTATGACTTCAAGCCCCCATGAATTATTTCTTAATTAACCCAATGGTTATATATACATGTATATATTACACCAAATGTATATTCATAATTACCCTAAATATCAGCACAACAATGTATATACTATATATATATCTACTGTATATTCCCCCAATTAAAAAATATGATCTGTTAATTTGCTTAAATGAAGTATTAATTTTTATTAAACCAAAAAGTTATTGAAAATCAATTCAATTCTAGATTGGATTATTTCCCTTTGATTCTGTGATGGACAGTTTATTTCATGTGCTTGAATAAGGAGAATGATAAATCATATGCAGGGGTTCAAATTAACTTTAGGCAATGGAAGGTCCAGGGCCTTTGACAAAAAAAACTAAAAGCTCCTCCTTTATTGGTAGAAGGTCCAATTTTAATTGAAATTCCAATTTCTAAAAACAGAATATGCTTACCATCATGACCATTCAAAAGCACTAATGATATCTTACTACATCAACCTCATTTTTTTTTGTGAATTTCTCAAATAAATTTTGTCAGAAAAAGGCATCTCCTTTATCCCAACACTATATGCTGTGAAAATAACACTCTGTACCTTTTTAATTGTTCTGGTTTCAATAGTTGCGGGACACACTGGCCTAACTTTGTGTCAGATAACAGCTCGACTTTGTGTTCAAACTTGGGGTCAGTTTCTTTTAACAACTGTTTTTGGCAAGATAGATGCTGGGAGGTAGTTTCATGATTTTTTAATGGGGTCAAGTTTTTTGTCCAACGAACCCCGGGGAGGGCACTTTTGTAACAGTAAATTCTGTCTGGTAGTAAAATTTGTCTGCCAGACTTTTTTCCTAGGTAATCGAGTCCGTGACCATAATTTTACTAGGAATGTAAGTCCCAGGATAATTTTTCCAAGGAAAATAAGTCCATAGCTAGTAAATTATGTCTGGCACTTATTTTCCTAGGAAAATTTTTATTTGTCAGTATTCTCAGTTTTTTTCTATGAAAAAGATTCCTTAAAAATTTCCTTTCTTTTTAAATTAATCAATATTAAAATTAAGAAAGGAACATTTGTGATTATGTTCATTATTAAAGTCTGTGATGTCAATTTTCCTATGAAAAATATTTAAAAAAACACCCATATTTTGATAAAAAAGTGAAATATTAATGTACAACTTTTAAACAATTTAAAAACATATAACAATTAAAAATTCCATTGTTTACATGTAAATTATTTCTTTCAGTACAAATTTTCCTATAAAAATAAATGACATGGACATTTCCACCTAGAAATATTGATGACATGAACATGAATTCCTAGGAAAAATAGTCTGGGGACATAAATTTCTGACATCGGACTAAATTTTATTTTAAGATTAATGCGTAACTGTAAAACAACATTAAAACATAACAATTAAAAATTCCATTGTTTACATGTAAATGATTTCTATTATTACATTTCTTATTAACTCAAAGGACATGGATGTTTTTACCTAGGAATATAAATGACCTGGACATGAATTCCTAGGAAAATTAGTCTGGGCACATAAATTTTATTAAAAGATTAATGCACAATTGTTGAACAGCATTAAAACATAAGAATTAAAAAATTCATTGTTTACATATAAATGATTTCTTTTATTACACATTTTCCTAGTAAAATAAAGGACATGGATGTTTTTACATAGGAATATTTATGACATGGACATGAATTCCTAGGAAAATTAGTCTGGGGACATAAATTACTGACATCGGACTAAATATATTAGTAAATTTGTAACCATGGACTTCTTAAACTAGTAATATTTGTCTGCTTGGACACATTTTACCTGGACTAATTTATCTCTCACACTTTCCCTTTCACTGTGTGTGGGATAAATCCAGCCAAGGACGATAAACCTTCCAATGGGGCAAACATTTACGTTCTCTCTTTTCCTGTCATAATTTTGGTCTTTAGTCAGATCCTGTCTTTCGGGCTGTGTTTCATCAATCAGCCCTGCTGTATCACCCGTTTCATCAGGTTTTCTTTTGGAAGAGGTCACCCAAAAACCAAAACAACTCATACTGTTTTATACTAGTTATTTTTTAATATTAAATATATTCTCAAGTTCCCCAATAAGGCCAATATCTTGTACGACGACCAGTCACGTGACTGCACTTATCAATTGTGAAGAATTTATGCAAAAACATAAATATCCTTTCAGTAAAGATACATGTATATTATAAGATTAAATTTATACTAGATTTTTATATTTTTTGTTCCAAATTCTTTTGTAAATTTTTTAACCTGCAAAAATACAAAAGTCCATCAGGTGTAACTAACTATCGGCAGGAAGATCCAAAACTGTAAATGGGAGGTCATGGAACCAGGGACCACAACTAATTTGAACCCCTGCATATGTGATTTTAAATCAGCATGAATACTAATTGGATTACTGTCTACTCTTTGATTTGAGAAAGTTTTTTAAAATCCAATACTTTAGTAATTTTAGCTGTTTGCAACTTACCTAAACTAGTCATTTACAGATGTACTGACACTTAACTGACCACTTGGATTGATTGTTATGATGACAGGATAGGCAGTGCCTCAAAATGGCTTTACAACAAGGGGTAGAAAAACTGTTGCTTTACCTGTGAGGCTGTTTCAGTTTGAAAATTATACATTTTCCCTTGGCAAACTTAGTTCATGTCTGTTATGCCTATAATTGCTCACACCTACTTCATTTGAACTCTGGAAGATAGTTGTCTCATTGATAATCATAACACATCTCCTTATTTTTATAGCAAACACTAAGGTTGCTAGTATCTTCATTATTTAAACTCTGGTGGATAGTTGTCTCAATGGCAATCATACCACTTCTTCTTATTTTTATTGGGCATATTTTAGAACTCCACAGGTTTTACATCCACTCATCTAACAATTATGTAAATGACTTTTGGTTAAAAGTAAGAAACTAAAGAAATAAAATTTACATGTATCCCAAGCATATACTGGTTACCTTCCTTTGACTTTTCACCTTTTTGGCAGATGTGCTGTGTCTAGATAAAGATATCTAAAACTGAGATACATGTTTTTTACTTACCAATGGTAATGATACAAGTTTATACATTTTGTATTTATTTTATTTTGCAATGGTGAGTTGGTGTATTTTGACTTTTCCAGCAGCTATTCTTAGTAGTGAATAATTGTCTACCGTCAGATAACTTTCAGACACTATATAAATAGTATGCCATTCTTTATCCATCATTCTTACCCATCATTCTGCCTCAGAAGTAGGTCCGTGAAGGACAGAAACTGGTCTTTCTATGAATCATCACCAGGCCCTGTTAATTATGTTTATTGACAATACCTACATGACCTACTTTTTCTTTGCTATTCT